CTCCCTCCCTCGAGCTTTATGCTGCCCTACTCCACAAAGTCTCCTGGCAGGCTCCTTTCATTTTACAATGAAAGTAAAAATCCTGCTAAAAAGAGACCATCAAAACAGTACAAGAGAGCATAATAAATTCTTTAGAGCCATCGGGTCACTGACTCATTCGCTGCAACTCATAGAGGTGTCCAGGGTTCTGATGACGAGATCGTAACCCAAGACTTTCCGAACAGCTCCAATTTTGCAGCTTTTCAGAAAGCAAAAAAAGGACAATGCCCTCCAGATTTTCTGTGGCACACTGCTCCAAGGGTAGGAGCCCCCCCCCCAGAAAACAGAAATTCCTTGCCGAAATCTCTCAGTATCCCTACTGAGATATGCACACTGAACAGGCAGAATCTGGTCCTATAAATCCTCTTGTGCGGGCGACATCTTTCTCACCCTTTCATTGCACTGCTTTCTTACCCCTGTGGCTGCGCAAAGGGGTCCGTGCAAAGATCTCTCCTCCCATTTCCCTTGAATCTGCCGGCTACATGGACCCCACAGTGACAGAAGTGTGCATGGCCTCTTGTGACATGACATAAGTGATGCAAATTGTTCAAATTAAATTTGGGCAACGTCATGTATGACACCCTTATCACTTCTGTGGGATGCCTGCAGGTGGGCTGAGCCCCTGACCCCCATACAACCTACTTGCGTTCCTTTTGTGGTCCCCAGAGCTCACTCAGAGAACATGGGTTGAAAACGTGGAGCTTTTTACTTATGTATCTTTTCCTTAAACCTTCTAAATTTTCATAGCCCCTGTTTCAGCCCTCAGATCTCCTGAAACCCTCATTTAAAAGAAAAAAGAGTTCGGGTTAATTTTTCATGTGCCATTATCAATGCGCCATGCAAAATCTTGATCCTGGATTTTGATTATGTAGATTATTTGTTTTTCAGCTTTATGGTTGCTCGATTTTAACTTCTTGCATGCTGTCCAGAGTCATTGCTATGAGATGGGTGGGCACAGACATTGTTTAAACAAGTCAATAAATAAAATGAAGGGAAGCCCTCCAGCCAAAATTGTGTTAGCTGGAGAGGGAAGAGAAATAATGGGAAACCGGTGGACTGGGTCCTGGTTGTCTCTTGGGGGTATCTGTGCTATGTTGCAGTATATGCTGTATTTCACTAGGTGGCAGCATTTGGCCAACTGCTAGACAGGATCAGATTTGGTTTGTACTTGGAAAGGAGACCACTAGGAGATCAGAGCTCCGTAGGCTAGACTGGCAAGTCAAAAAAACAAAGAAGGCAGGGCAAACTGCTTTTGGGCACATTGCTGCAGGCAGGAACACTGCTCGGGTTGTGTCTGTGAAATCATCAGGAGTCACACTCAACCAGAAGGAGACTTGCTTTTTCACACTGTGTTTGGCATGCAGCTTGCTTAGAGCCCCCAAGCCAGCTCTTTAGTGCCTTCTGTACCTCCTCTCTCCCCAGCCTAAGGATTGTTTCCGGGCTCCGTGCCCAGCTGCCAAGTGGGATTGCAAGCCCGGGCAATTTGAGAGCTTCCGGCCGGAACTGGGTGCTTAGCAAAGTATGCGCTCCTTACCAGCTCCTGTGCTTGAGCAGAACTGGGGTCCAGCAGCTGCGTTCGCCTCGTGGCCAGCCACTGCCTGCTCTGTCTGCAGGAAGGCCGTGAGCAACCACGTCCCGGGGTGTGGGGCGAGGCCAGGGAAGTGTGGCTTTCTCCCTTGCTCGTCTAATTTTCTCGTGAATCTTCGGTGTTCATGGCCCGGTTGAGAGAGGTGGAAGATGGGCTGTACTGTGGATAAGACCAGGAAGAGCGGAACATGCTACTTTTTTTAAAGATTTTTTTTTATCCCACTTTTATTATTTTAATAAATAACTCAAGGCGGCGAACATACCTAATCCTCCTTCCTCCTCCTGTTTTCCCCACAACAACTACCCTGTGAGGCGAGCTGGGCCGAGAGAGAGGGACTGGCCCAAAGTCACCCAGCTGGCTTTCAGGCCTAAAGCGGGACTTTAACTCACCACCTCCTGCTTTCTACCCTGGTGCTTTAACCACTAGACCAAACTGGCTCATCTAAAATGATTAAATTCTGAATTACTCATTTCATATTCTACCACAAATTTATTAATCTACTTGCAACAGATTTTTTTCCCCCTTGAGTCTTTCTTGGCTCCTGGCGGGTGCCTGGACAGGTCCCTGCAGTTTTCTTGGCAAGATTTCAGAAGTGGTTTGCCCTGGCCTGCTTCTTCCTAGGGCTGGGAGAGAGCGGGACCGGCCCAAGATCACCCAGCCAGCTTCATGCCTCAGGCGGGACTCGAACTCACGGTCTCCTGGTTTCTAGCCTGGTGATTTAACCACTGCGCCAAGCTAATTCTGGCTTTTTGCTACTTTTGCCGCCTCTGGCAACATCTGCAAGTGGGCACGTCTTTGGAGCATGCAGTGTTTTGGAACTTGCTCTGGGGACACCCCTCTGCAGCTTTTTCAAGCCACCGTGGCTTTTCGGCTTCTTGGAAGAGCTGCAGGAAGAAGCTTCTTTTCTGAGTTATTTCCAAATTACTGCACAGATTTAAGCAGGGAGGGTAAGAATTCAGCGAGGACCAGGTTCTTAAACCTCATATCAAGGGTCTGGATTCTTTGAGGAAGTCTCCTTTTAAATCTTTGTCCTAGCATCTCTGGATAAAAAAAATAGCAGGATCCAGGGAAGAACCCAGAAGGCTGATGCCAGTCAAGAACAGATAGCCTGTTCTAGCACAAGGGGGTTCTGCTGGTCCCACCACCTCATGCATTGCTGAAGAAGCAATCTCTGCATGTTGCCTGGCGAACGCCGTGGTCACTAAACAAAATATAATCAACAGATTTGAGATATTATTTACGGCAGTGCTTCGCAAACTTGGTAACTTTAAGACAGGTAGACTTCAACTCCCAGAATTTCCTAGGCAGCATGCTGGCTAGGGAATTCTGGGAGTTGAAGTTCACATGTCTTAAAGTGGCCGAGTTTGAGAAACACTGATTTATGGCAAATCAGAATTCAGTTCTTTCATTTCCCAGGAAGGCATTCTTCCCTTAAAATTGCCCCAGAAGTTGCATTTGGCCACATGTTAGAGCAATCTTCTTATTTCTATTTAACGAATACAATATTCCATTGAAGTTAAATTAAAGCCAGCGTAGGCTTTCCTCTGGACGTCTTGCTTTCCCAACCGCTGTTCTTCCCCCTCACTCTTAGTAACTCACGCACCTCCACTATAAATGATTAATAGACCAAATTGCTGTTTGGGCTCTCTTGTCCCAGAATTAAAAGCTTGTTGTGTAAGATGTCTGCAGGGGATGGCTCATTTTATTGCCTCTTTCTTATCCACTTCCAGGGCTCGAAAACGATCTGGACTCTCTGAACACAGTGGCGGATCAGCCTGTTCCAGGTTGGAATGCAACCTTGTGATCAATTGCGGGAAGCCACCGGTCCTCGAAGCAATAGGAAGTGGGCGATGGCATGTGGGCAGATGGCATGCGAGATCCCAGTTTAATTCATCGGCTCCTGTGCACGGGAGGCTATTTCACGTGCAGCGCCATTTCCCCGTTCTCTTTAGCACAGTGTTTCTCAACCTTGGCAACTTGAAGATGAGTGGACTTCAACTCCCAGAATTCCCCAGCCAGCAAGG